TCCCAGTGCTACCAGCACACCCCCAAGGCACCCTGGTGTCCCCCATACCCCCAGGGTCCYCAACACTCCCCCCATGGCACCCCAGTGTCCCACTTCCACCCAGGGCATCCCAGTAGTGGATCCCAGAGCCTCCTTTCCCTCCCAACAGTGCAGCCCAGTGGCCCCAGTATCATCCCAGTCATCTCAGTGACCCACACAGGTATCCCTATATTGCCAGTTCCCCCACCCTCGGTGCCCCCAGTGCCCCCAGCACAGCTGCCAATGCACCCCAGTATCCCCAGCACCCCCCTCCACACATCCCCGCATCCCCTCAGAGCATCCCAGTAGGCTCTAGGTTCTTCCTGTGCATCCCAGTGTCCCCAGTGCCACTCCAGTGTGTCCCAGTGGCCCCTGGTGCCCCGTTCCCCTATTCCCATTGGTGTCAAGTGCCTTCTCTTGCCCCCCAGTGCCCCCAGCGGCCCCTTGCACTTCCTCCTCCATTCCCTGAGGGCCCCCCGGGACTTCCAGCTGCCCCCAACACCCTAACCACTGCCCCTCCGCACCGTGCACCCCACACCTCGTCAGAAACCCCCACGGACCTGGGAGGAAACGGCTCCCCCGGGCCCAAATTCACCCCTTTATTGCGGCGGGCGGAGCGCGCGGGGCCGGAGCGGGCGGCCCCTGGAAGCCCAGGATGGCAGAGACGGAGCGGCCGGGCTCCGAGCACGCCGGAGCGGCGCGGGGGGCCCCGTCTCCGCCGCTCGCTCCCCGCTGTCCGGCCGCTCCCCGCGGCGCTAGATGCGCACGGTGTTGATGCGCAGCGGCTGCACGTTCTTGCCGTTGGCGTGGCTCTGCCCGGGGCTGAAGTAGGAGCAGAGCTTGCCCGGGAACTTCTCCCGGAACGTGTAGAGCCAGGACATGTCGTCGGCGTTGTAGAAGATCAAGAGACCCTTGTCGTAGTCCAGGAAGACGCCCACCTTCTCCAGCTTGCTCTTGACGTTGAGCCGCGTCCAGGGCTCGGTGCAGGCGCTGTACTGGTTGCCGTCGTGCATGACGATGCAGTAGAAGCCGCGGCTCGGCTGGATCTGGATGCTGCCCTTGCGGGTGACGGCCTCGTGCGCCAGCCCGATCATCCACTGCGTCTTCTCGGAGACGACCACCTCCCAGTAGTGCACGCCGGCGCCGAACGCCTCGGCGCCCAGCACCGACACCTCCACGTCGAAGCGCTTGGGCGAGTCCTGCAGCGGCTGCGGGTGCAGGTTGCCGTACGCCACGATGGTGCAGTCGTCCGAGAGGATGAGGCGCTGGTGGGCCGTGCCGGGGTCCAGCGTGAGCGCGGCCGGCACTGGCGGGGCGAGGGGGACGCCGCGTCAGCCCCGCGCGCTCGGCCACGGGAGCAAAGCGCCCGTCGGCGCCTCCTTACCGGGGTGGATGTCCTGGAAGAGCGACTTCCAGATGGTGTACTGCAGCGGGCCCATATACTTGGACGTGGGGAAGTCCTCGTACGTGAGGTTGGTCTCGTGGATCTTGCCCTTGAGCCTGCGGGGACCAAGCGGCRCCGTGAGACCGGCGGGGACGTCGCGGGCGCCCCCCGCTCCCCACCGGATCCCAGGCACCTCTCGGAGAGCGAGGCGACGCCGGCCAGGAAGACGTGCTTGTCGGCCTCRGCCAGGCGCTCCTGCAGGATCTGGCTGCCCTCCTGCACCTTGCGCAGCTGCTGGCTGTAGCGCTGGATCTTGTGCTCGATGTCGGTGAGCGTGCGCGCCGTGTCCGCCTCCAGCTCCTCCAGCATCGCCTTCTGCCGCTCCCGCAGCAGCCGGTGCAGCCGCTCGAAGGCCTCCCCGATGGTCACCCGCAGGCTCTTGGCCGACGACTGCGGGCGCGGGGGGTGTCAGGCCCCCGCGGCACTTTATTTCTCTGGGAAAAGACCCTCCCCACCCTCTGTTTCCCACAGTTTGGAGCTTAATTCCCAAGGAAAAACCCGCCCAGGGAGCCGCCACCCACCGCAAAGCACGTGGAGCTTTCGGAGCACAGCTCCGAGCGGGATGCAGGACAGCATCGGGATGGGGATCTGTGGTAACCAGGGCTCTGCTATTCCAGACCCTCCCCTGYTCCCCTCGTTTAAGAGAAACCCTCGAAAACTCATCTCCCAGGAATGCTCAAAACCTTCTTTTAACTTTTTTTTTCTACTTTTTAATACCAGAGTGGGGAAAATATATATGTTCCCGTGCCATATCTCTTGCCAGTGCATTAACGGGTATCATTCCCTTTTCCCTCCCAATTCATCCCAAAGATGGGAGCCCAGCTGCAACTGAATGTTCCCTTCCCCGTGACTCCTGAGCAAGCAGGGAGAACGAGGAGCTATTTAAAAGCAGCTCGTAAAGAAATAAATTGCAGGGAGTGATGGATGGAGTGCTGCAGCTGGGAGAGCACACGGAGAGAGCAGCAATCAGCCTGATGTATGRCTCCATCAGCATGCTAGGAGGGCTCGGAGCCATGGGAAGGGGGAAAAAATGGGCAAATAAGGGGAAAAAAAAGCAGGGTTTGGGGTGTGGGGGTTCCTAGGAGGGGGGTCCTTTATGGCTCCAGCACATGGGGCTCCCAGAAATGGGCTGGCGAGCGGCATGGAGGGCGCCCAGGACGGGTCGCTGGGAGGCACGTTCCCCCGGGAAGGCGCGTTCCCCCGGGAAGGCGCGTTCCCCCGGGAATGCGCTCCCGGAACGCGGCGCAGCTCACCTTGGTGTCGGCCAGCTGCCGCCGGAGCAGCTGCAGGGCCTCGGTGTGGCCGCGCTCGCTCTCCTGCAGGCTCTGGAGCTGCTCCCGGAGCTCGCGCTGCAAGGCAGGCGGGCRCTGCGGGCGCTGCCGGCTGCGGGGCACGGCGAGGGCTCCCGCAGCTCGGGAAGGGGCTCCCTGTGTGCCGGGAAGGCAGCTCTCCGGCTTAGGGGAGTGGGAAGCGGGGACTGACTGGAACCCCAGGTGCCCACCAGCACGGCCGGGATGCGGATAACGGGATACGGGCGATGGGAGCAGGGCAGGGAGCCACTGCTGGGTGATGGGAGCGGGAACGGGGTGCGAAGCTGGGAGAGCAGAGGAATGGGGATGCGGACAGGGGGGATGAGGCCCCTGTTTCGGCAGCCTCCGGGATGAGGGAAGCCTCGTGGATGACAACACAGGGGCCTTTGGGCCCTTGGGGCAGGGGGCCAAGGCGGGGAGGGGGTCCTGCTTGGAGGGGCAGCGCTCCAGTCCATACGGGAGATCCCACACCATTGCAGATGGGAATACACGGATGGACGGACGCGAGCATCCCAAGGGAGCAGCACTCGGGAGCTCCAGATGGACTGACAGACGGCAGCATCCCGGTCGGGGAGGGGGGGACAGCCCCAAAAGGGCACGGGAAGGAGGCAGGCGAGGAGGCCACGCTCCAGCCCGCGGCGGGCAGCGCTCCGGACGGCGCCCACCCACCCACCTGCAGCTCCTCGAAGGCGTCATCCACGTTGGTGACCTGGTGCTGCTCGTGCACGGCGGGCTCGTCGCAGAAGAAGCAGACGACGGCGCGGTCCGTGAGGCAGAAGAGCTTGACCTTCTCGTGGTCCTTGCAGGGGAAGGGGCTGCGCTGGGCGCCCAGGATGGCGTCCAGCGGGAAGGCGCTGTAGCGCTCCACGATGTTGGCCAGCTTGAGGCTGGGCGCCAGCGTGGGCTCGGCGAACGTGCGGCGGCACTCGGGGCAGTCGCGGGCGCCCTGCGGCTCCTGGCGCACCCAGTGCTCCGTGATGCAGCGGCGGCAGAAGTAGTGCTCGCAGCCGAAGCTCACCGGGTCCTGGTAGATGCTCAGGCAGATGGAGCAGAGCAGCTCGTCCTTCAGGCTGCAGGCCATGGCCCGGCCCGCCGGGGAGCCGGCTCGGCGGCCGCCCYGCGGCTCTGCCCTCGGGGGGAGCCGGCTCTGCGGCTGCCCCCTCCCCAGCGCGGCCCCTCGCGGGGACCCGGGTTCGAGGCCCGGCCCGGCTCTGCCCGTCCGAAGGACCCGGGTTCGAGGCCACCTCCCGGCCTGACCCCGTCCCGACGCCCCCCGCCCGGGCAGGGCAGCCCCCCGGCCCGGGGCAGCCCCTCTCCCTGCCCCTCGCGGGGCGCTGCCGGTGGCGCCGAGCGAGGCCGCAGCCGCCTCAGCGCGCCCCG